TTTGCACTAAAAATATTTTAAAATACTGAGGGATAGGTGACACTGCCTTGGGATTCGTTACTCGAAAGAAGATGAGAGGCACTGAGCCCTTCCGCAGAGGACACCGCACCTTTCTGTCTGGCATCCGGAAAGCCCAGATGAGAACTTACTTCCCCATGAGAAAGTGTGAAGCAGCATCTCTGAGCTTCTCCTTGACCATAACCCTTGGGATGTTCAGACACCGAATAGGTGGCCTTGGCAAGCATTTGGGATCCTATGAGGGAAGTGTAGCAGGAGCCGGGAGAATTGGGGTTGATGTTGTTCATGTGACCCTGTGTGTCCTTGTAGGTTGGTCAGACCTACAGAAACTGGCCTTACACTGAAGTCGCAGCGACAGTTCCGCATCATGGGATTATTCATGAGGATTTAGATGGCTAGCGAAGTCTGGCATGTAAGAATTCTTCAGCAAAAGTTAACTGAATGGATGAATATCTAGAAATAGCAGGACAGTGCCAGCATGCTCCAGAACAAATCTAACCTGTAGGTTTATGTTCTCAGTGCTGCGTGTGAAACCCAGCTCCAAGACACGCTCTGTGATCTTGACGGAATTGCCGCTCCTCTCTGTGCTTACTTTTCCTCCTGGGAATGTAAAGTGAGGGCTTTGGGGTGACCACGTTGGATCGTCATCGTGCCTCCGTGCAGTGTAATGGGAAAGGGGCTACAGAAGGCTCCACACTCTTCTCACTTCCCCTCTCTGTTCCTTCTTCAGGTCCTCAGTGCTCATTCCCCGAGATCCAGGGACTCGAGGACTCTGTGTTCTCCTTTCCTTCAAATCCAATATTAATTTATCTTTCTCAGTATGGTCACACTATCCATATTTAACAGTAATGTGCATTCCCCCCATTCTTTCTTAGTCTTTAAAAACTGCTTTGTTTAGGTATGATTTACATACCATGAAATTCACATTGCAGTCCAGTGGTTTTAGTAAATTTGGAGTTGTCCAACCTTCATCAAAATCTGGCTTTAAAACGTTTCCCTTTCTCCCAGCAGTTCCCTTGTGCCTGTTCACAGTTAATCCCTGTTTCCGCTCAGCAATATACATTTAAGCACATATATTACATCCTTCACAGATAATTACATTTATCCTCTGTTTTAATACAGTTTCATCTGTTAAAGAGGAGATGCTAAAAGAATATATTCCGGTTAACTAAAGAGGCTGAAATCAGATAGCACGGTGACTACGTACACTTGGTAAATGTTCCCACAGTACTACAGCCGTAAGCACCTGAAGTCTGTCTGTTTCTGGTGGAATCAACAGGTCCCTTCAGCTGTCTGAGACAGTGTTCCAAGAACCCTGTCTTTGCCACTTAGTGACTGTGTGATATTGGATAAGATGTTTGATGTCACTGAATCTGTCTTCTCTTTTGTAAAGTGGGAGTAGTATTTCGTTTTCTTCTCTTGCTTCATAGGGCTATTGTAACAGTGAAGGGAATGCCTATGAAAGCACCTTATAAATGAAAAATCCTACCCATAGGTTAGTTTTTCCCCGTCATCATTTATAATGTCAAGACCAACTGTGTCTTCAGTTAACTCCTTTTACCAAAGCTCTTAAGGCTGAGTTGATTAATAAATAAGGTGAAGTATTTTTCATCTGTGTAGAGTCTATGGTTCAGTAGGTACCTGGGTCGAAAGTAATTAGCATCCATTCAAATTACATTTCTGTATCACTTGAATGACTGAAATCTTAGTCTTAGTAGTGCATGGAGAGAATTTATTGAAATTTTAACATAATTCTACCTTTAAGTCCCAGAGATCTAATGTTTGGCTCTCCCTGATGAAATTTGCCAAGAACTTTCATCTTTCCACTTGAGAAAGAATTTTAAGTTGCCGGTGGCGCCCAGCAGGCAGCCTCCTACACAGTGATATTGCAGTCTCACTCTCTGTCAAGGTTAAAAGCTTAATACTAGCTTGTCTTATAGGGTAGAAGCGAGCTATTCGAATTGTCTTGAAGTGGAAAGAAATAGCAAGGGGAATTTATGAAATTCTTAAATCCCACTTCTCACACATCTTTGCCGTCAGATTTCTTTGCTTTTGAATGGAACCTGTCGTTGGTAAAGCCATCTGAGTCTTGTCTCTCTGAGCTCTCTGCGTCTGTGCCTGGCAGAGAAAAGGCTGATTCTTTGCAGGAATACATTGCATGGCTTGAGAGGATTGAACATTACAGATTTTAGGTTCTGTGTTAGTATAATTTCCTGTTAGGGTGCCATATTTAGCAGGTCAGCTGTCTTGATGTTGTTTGCAAAGGATATACCCATTCAAAAGAGCTGAATTTAAAAGTATGTGGAGACATCGATAAGAATTTTTCAAATACAGGTTTGTAACCATCATGGACTCGATTACTTCTTAAAATGAAATCAGAGATGAATAACTGGTAACAAATGACTTAATTCTCCCTCTTCTTTGTCCACTGCATTGGTAAGAGAAATGTCCATCTTTTCCTTTCTGGTTCTCTATTTGATCTGTTATCCAATGTATCTATTTATCTATACTCTTATTATTTGCTTATTTTCATCTTGACGTTGAGTCGGTTTTTATGGTTTAAGAATGTTTAATTTATAAGTGCAATGTAAATGGTTTTCCATCACACTCAAAAGTCTAACCTCCATATCCTGGCTCATACAGCCCTACCTGATTTAACACTGGCTCATTTTCTGACCTCCAGTGGAGCCATTCTTTTGACAAGTTACACTCTAACCTCAATCTTTTTTTTTTTTTTTTTGCCTGCCCTTCCTTCTTGAAAAGCCTTAGCACTTGCTGTCGCCTTTTCCTGGAACGTTCATCACTCTAATCATGCCATTGCTGGTCCTGCAGGATCAGTTTCCCAGGAAACGGACTCTGAAGAGGAAATGATGTCGGGAGTTTATTAGGGAATGCTCTTGGGATCAACATTGTGCAAGGGAGAAAAGCCAGTGTGGGGCAGAGAGAAAGTGGGCTGCCACACAGCCTCAATACAGGCCTCAGATGACCCCGTGGGAACTTCTGGTTTCCCTCAGAATTGTCTGGAGCTGGTTTGAGGGGCCAGACCTTACTCCCCACCATTAAGAGTTATGGAATGAAAGTGCTCTTAGAATGGGAGTGATCTTGGGCAAGCCTGCTCTCTCCAGGGAGGAAGACTTCCAGAGAGGGCTAGCCACTGTTAAAAAATAGGCAGGCATATTAAAATCTTTTTGAGCAGAAATGAATTTGAATTTGGCAGTGCCAAACCTGAAGTGGTTAGGAGTGTTCTACCAGCAGGAGCTGGGGAGAGACTTTTTATAGAGAAAAGGCCAAAAACGAAGTCAGAAAATTATTGCCTGGCTGGAGCTAAAATCCTAGCTGCATGTTTGTGATTGGCTGTTCTTGGGTTTGAATTTTGTACCCTTGAGGCATTTATGAGCTTAGATTTGGGTTTGCTTTCTTGGGAAGCCATGGCACTTAGAGCCACCTCCTGTAATGGCCTCCTTGTTCAATTAACTTAACAAACTAGGAGCTCCGAGCCCAGCAGCACTTGTGGCAGCTGGGGGGGTATCTGTCAGTCCTAGGAACTCTGGGTGGTTCATCAAGGGTCCAGACCAGCTGTTCATTCCTAATTATTCAGGTATCAGCCTTTTGTCGCTTATTTAGAAGGGCTTTCTTGACCTCTGTGGAAGACACACCCTAAGGTGATCTCCAGTGAGTTACTGCTGAATCATCCTCCCCTTGAGTGTGGGTGAGATCTGTGACTTGCTTCTCATGGGTGGAATATGGCAAAGATGTGGGATGCCACGCCCCTGGTTAGGTTGTTATGTAAGAGTTCATCCTGTTGGACTGGACTGAGAGAGGCTCTCACTGGCTTAGAAGAAACAAACAGCCTTCCCTATGGAGACGGCCACAGGGCACAGAATTTGGCATCGTTAGGACCTGGGGCTGCTTCCAGCTGATAGGGAGGGAGGAAGCAGGGCTCCCAATCTTGTAGCCCTGAAGAAATGAGTTCTGGCAACCAGAGTGCTTGGAGGAGGCCCCTGAACTCCATAAAGAAAGCAGCTTGGCCAACCCCTTGACTGCAGCCTGGTGAGACCCGGGCTGGGGACCCAGCAAGTCTGACCCAGGGAAACCCAGATAATACATGGGGGTTGTTTTAAGTCGCTCAGTTTGTAACAATAGAAAAGTAAAGCAATCATGCAATCTAGGGAATGCACACATGCCCTACCCTATCTCTCCGTTTAATTCTCTGCATCGTACTTCAAGCCATACAATATTTGGTCATCTACATGTTGTCCGTTTCCCATCATCAAATGAAAGCAATATGGAGACAGTTGTCTTGACGTCTTATTTCTAGTTTTGTTCCCAAAATGTAGAGCTGTGTTGAGTGACATGAATAAGTGTGGAAAGACATGTGGAAATTCTCCTTCCTAACCCTCTCTGCCCCTGTTCCTTTCCCCAGAGCTCACTTCTGGGATCACCTTCCAGTTCTAATTTTATTCACTCATGGATATACGTGTGCAAATATGTACATTAAAACACTTGAATGTGATTTGACTTTTTATCTCATTCTTTGACTCGCTCTTTCCTTTTAGAAATATTTCACATTTTAAAAATATTTCCATGTCACTTCCCATCAGTGTAATTGTCTTTTAATTACTGCATAGCATTGCATAGTATGGATATATTGTCATTTATTATTTCCTGGATAACATTTAGGTAGTTTTCCATTTTTAAATACTATCACTATTATTCAACAGTCAGACAATTTCTTCTTCATACTTTCGTGTCAGTACACCAGTATCCGTGTGTCACAGATCCTAGGAATGGAATTGCTAGACTGAAAGTGCATTGTATTTTCACCATTTTTTTTTAAACCTGAGCTGTTCCAGTAATTTATGAAGAGAGCGCGTCATCCCCAGGTGTTCCTCACTCCTCCAGCCCACAAACTGTTAGTGTTTCACTAAGGTGTCTCTGATCATGCAATAAATAACCTTAAAACTTTCAGTGTTTCCTTATAGTCTAGGAAACAAGGTCTCAGCGCCTGAGTCTGGCATTCTGGGCATCCTTTATTGTCTTCACCTACAGCCTCACGTGGAACTCTCTACCTTACATGCTTTATGGTGAGTTTATGGGGAGATCTTCTATTCTCCAAGCATCCCTGACCATTCGTCTTTCCCGTGGCTCACTCACGCTCCCTCCCTCCCCTGGAAGGCCATTCTCTTCCTACCCTCTGCTGCCCCTGCCCTTTCATGGAGCTCAAATGCTGTCTCTTCTAATTAAATATTTCTTGAGTTTCCTAGTCTTTGATAATGCTTTTACATTTGTAGGATTTTTAAAAAATAGTTCACAAGTCCTTTACATATTTATTATATTCTTTAATTCCTAAAACAATCTTTTGAAACAGGTAATAGTATATTTTTGGCAGGTAACTAAAGTTGAGAGTTGCACACTTCTCAAGGGCAGAGCTGCAGGGAAGAACCTATAACCCCAAGTCTAGGCACAGCCTGCTTGGCCGCCACTGCCTGTCTCCCGTGCGAGCCCCGGCAGTGCTGCGCTCGTGCCAGCCTTGGTGCTTGTTCAATTCCGACGTACATTTTAAATATTATTTTTGTTATCATTTTTCCTTGAAGTCAGGAACTTCTCTTAATTTTTGAAAAATTCCCCACGACTTCTTATTGTCTCAGTTATGTTTAACTAGTGAGCGAGGATGGAGGATTCAATTATACATCCATTGCATGCCATAGGGAAAGAAAGTCATATCTGGTTGGATAAAAGCCTGTCTGAGTCTGGCCAAGCCAAACGCCTTTGTGGATTACGTACTCAGGTTTGCATATCAGTGGCATCCGTGATGCGTTGCTCTCCCTGCCCAGGGTCTGTGTGCACTAGGTCCCCAGGTCCCCAAGCACATGGCTCAACCACTATCTTTACAAACCAGTTTACAAGTTATGGATGTAGCGTATTTTCTAAATACCACCTGATTATCAGTAATCAATCCGAGGAACTCGGCAGAGATTTTAGCCATGCTGAGACTCTGAGTCACCTCTGGCAGACTGAGGGTTAAATCCCCTCTCCCTCCCAGTGCCACAGGCTTTGCTGGGGACAGGTCAGGCCAAGGCTGTTCTTTGATGTGTGGGTTTCTCCTGTGTGGATTTCTCCTGTCTTTCACATGAGAATCAGCAACTCACTAGTTTACAGAGAAATCCCTAAAACCACCCATGCATGCTCAGAAACAAACTCACAGACAAAAATGAAAAATGAAGATAAATGTATATTTGCTAGCATAAATATTTTAAATATTGATTTTCTTCATTCTCTTAAGAATTCTTGACATATAAAATATCATTAATTCCCCCTTCGAGCCATGCTATCAAAGATTATTCGTCTTGGTAAGAAAACATTCTTAATGAAATCATGGATTAATTACTGCTTGTACTTAGACCAGTAACTTTTCTGTCTTTCCAATCCCCAGTGGTCTCCCTGACAGTTAGGTAAAAGAAATTGTTCGAGGTTATGACCAGGTCTTAAAGGCCAGAGCATATTAAAAACCTGTGAACAGACCTCTCTTTTTTTCCTCAGTGGTAATACACGATTCTAAGCCTTCCTCATGTTTTAGTTTGTTGTTAAATTACAGAAGGAGTGTTTGTAAAAAACATATTTCCAGCAACACTGAAGACGGAAAACGAACTGTGACAGTCTCCATTGTCCCCCTACTTTCTTTTCCATGAAAACAGTAACTATTAACATTTTTGGTTGTATCTTTCCAGATGTGAGAGAGTAAGTGTGTATAAGATATACTCACTCTAGTCCACTATTTTTGCAAATTATTATTTTTTCCCCAGAATATATCAGAGATCCCTTCCATGTTAATTTTGTACCTTCCACCCTCCAGATCCCTCCGGGTACAGGCTGGCTTTTATCCAGCTTCCCCTGCAAGGCGGGCCTTGCTTATATTCATCGTATTTCCTTGTCCAACCATCGGGGAAAGACCACGGTCAGAGGTGAGGCAGCGCACGTGGTGGTTTTGCATCACCCTGGAGTTCCGCAGAGGGGATGGGGGGACACTTCTTGTCCTTTGACCCCACCTTGTATGAGTGCAAAATTATCTTTCCTAGCAGTAGGCTGATCGCCCCTCATACCTGAGAGTAATCTGTAAAACAAAATAGAACATTTTTCTTTTTAATTATTGATTACTGAGTCATACCATCCTCTGGACACTTCGGTGATTTGGAAGAAAAGGTCTTGAGCCTGTCAATGCATTTTCATTTCATAACATTAACTAGAGGTTTCTCATGGACTGCATGTTTTTAATAGACTTTATTTTTGCAGTAGTTTTAGGTTCACAGCAAAATTGAAAAGAAGGTGCAGAGATTTTCCCCTAGATCTCCTGTGTTCACATATACATCCCCTTCCTATCACCAATCTCCCCCATCAGAGTGGCACACTTGTTGAATCTATGGACTTAAATTGGCGTATTATTATCACCCAAAGTCCATAGTGTACATTAGAGTTCACGCCTGGGGTTGTACATTCTGTGGGTTGGGGCAAATGTTTAATGACATGAATACATCATTCCAGTATCATACAGCGTAGTTTCACTGCCCTAAAAATCCTCTGTACTCTATGCATTAATGTCTTTCCCTCCAATCCCTGGCAACTACTCATCTTTTTAAGGTCTTCATAATTTTGCCTTTCCTAGAACATCTTATGGCTGAAATCATACTTCTTTCATTTAGTATTATTCAAGTTTCCTTGCCTTTGCATAGCTTCATTAACTCATTTATTTCTAGTGCCGAATAATACTACATTTGCTGGTTGTATCACAGTTTATCCATTCACCTACCAAAGGACTTCCTGGCTTCTACGTTTTGGTAGTTACAAACCAAGATGTTATAAACATCCATGTGCAGGGGATGTAAGTTTTGAACTCCTATGGGTAAATACCAAGCAATGTTATTGCTGGATCCTATGACAAGAATGTGTTTAGTTTTGTAAGAAGATGGCGAACTGCCTTCCAAAATGTCTGTACCATTTTGCATCCCCACCAGAAATGAATGAGCGTTCCTGCTGCTCCACATCCTCATCAGCCTTCAGTGTTGTCAGTGTTCTGGATCCGGGCTGATTTAATGGGTGTGTAGTGGCATCGCATTGTTTCAGTTTGCATTTCCTTGATGACATATGAAGCGAAGCATCTTTTCATATGCTTATTTGCCATCTGTGTGTCTTCTTTTGTGAGGTGTCTGTTGAAGCCTTTGGCCCATTTTGTAGGCAGGTTATTTGTTTTCTTGTTGAGTTTTACTGGTTTTTTAAAAAATATTTTAGATAATAATTCTTTATCAATTATGTCTTTTGCAAGTATTTTCCCCACTCTATGGCTTATCTTTTCATTCTTTTGACAAAAATCTCATGCAGCATGGAAAATTTGGATTTTAACCAAGTCCAATTCATCAATTATTTCCTTTATAAATTGTTTTTGGTGTTGTATCTAAAAGTCATTACCAAATACAGTATCATCTAGATTTTCTCCTATGTTATCTACTAGAATTTTATAATTTTGTATTTTACACTTAAGTCTGTGATTCACTTTAAGGGTTCTTTTGGGATGGGTGTAAAGTCTGTGTCTAGATTTATGTTTTTGCGTGTGAATGTCTAGTTTTTCCAGCACCATTTGTTGAAAAGACTGTCTTGGCTCCATTGTATTTCCTTTGCCCCTTCGTCAAGTAACAGCTGACTGTATGTACGGGTCTGTTTCTGGGCTCTCCGTTCTGTCCTCTGGGTCTGTCTGTCTTCCTTTGTCAGTACCGCACCACCTTGACTACTGCGGCTTTATTGTAACTCCAAAGTTGGGTAGTGTCAGTCTTCCAACTTTGTTTTTCTCCTCCAATATTGTATTGACTATTTTGGGCCTTTTGCCTTTCTATATAAGTTTTAGAATCAGTTTGTCAATGTCCACAAAATAAGCTGCATGGATTTTGACTGGGATTGTGCTGAACCTATAGATCAGATTGAGAAGACCTGACATCTTGACACTATTTAATCTTGCTACCCATAAACATGGAATATCTTTTTATTTAGTTAGTTCTTTGATTTCTTTCATCAGAATTTTGTACTTTTCCTCATATAGGTCTTGTATGTATTTTGTCATATGTATACCTAGGTATTCAATTTTTTTTTATTCTAATGTATATTGTACTTTTAATTTCAAATTCTATTTTTTTCATTACTGTTTTATAAGAAAATATTGAACTTTGGTATATTAATCTTGAATCCTCTCATCTTGCTATAATTGTTTTGGCCTACATGTTGTAAATGTCTCATGTATAAATATAATCAAATTATTTAGGATATTTAAACATTCAGATGTTATATGTAAACCTGTGCTTACTTAACATAGTCACCTATTCTGCATGTGACAAATCATGTCAAAATTTCATTTCCATTTATCTTGACTAATCAAGATTTGAAGATTTTTTGGTTTTTTTTTCTATTTTCCTACATACATATATGTATATTTATATAGATATAGATAGATATTTATGTACATAAATAATTATTTGTTTAATTAAGTATAATTTTTTAATACTTCTTTCTAGGAATCCTCTTCCTTTTAGGTAAAGCACCGAAAGAATCACATATTCGAATATGGCTTAAGAAAAGTAAAAATCTTTCTTAATTTAAAGAAAACATTTCAAATTAAAGGAGAAGAGGTTTATTTGGTTTATTCACTTTCATTTATGTCTTTGTAAACTTACCTCTTCTCAAATATAGTTTTGTATATGTAGGGTATAACCTTATTTTTTTACTTCTTTAAAGATCCCTCAAGGTTATTGTTGAAAGATACTCTGCCTTTCTAAAAAGGAGTAAAACTATCTTCTGGGTGTAGATTTCATTCATTGCTCTCAGAATAGGGAATAGAAATTCTCTATTGTTGATAACATTCCAGATTGACTGCTGTTCAGGTTAAAGCCTGAACAGTCATTACGATTTCCCCAGGAATACTTAATTACTCTTGATATCCAAGTCAGAAAGTCTGGTTAGAACATGTAGTTCTTCTCAAATTGTAATTTGGCCTACACTGTTGGCATTCATGAGGGCCATGCCATTTCCTACAGAATAGCACACAGTAAATATGTGTGCCTTCACATGCACACTTAGAGATTTTTATTATTCATGTCTCTATTTTAATTATTATTTTTGGTTTTCAACTTCCCTTTTGAAGGTCTTTCAAGATAGTATTTGTCCTGCAGCTCAGAGGTCAGCAAACATTTTCTTTAAAGGGCCGGATGTTAAATATTTTAGACTTTGTGGACCAGCTGGTCTCTGCTGTGAGCACTCAGCGATGTCTTTGTAGTGCTGGTTGTGCAAAAGCAGTCACAGACTAAGAAAAAAAAATGGTCATGATTGTGTTTCAATAAAACTTTATTTACAAAAAAGGTAGTGGATCAGATTTGGCTCACATGCCTTCATTTGCTGACTTCTGCTTCTGGCTCAATGCTATTCATAGTTATTACTATTCTAGAAGGAGATAAACAGCTTCTATTGGAATGTAAATCTACACAGTGCTTTCTCACTGAGGAAGTCTTGTTATGAAGATAAGGAAGTTGAACTGACTATTGCTGAGTGACTGTAGTTGGCATATATTCTGTTGCAAGCTCCTTATCTCACGATGGACTGGGCTCGGTTTTTCAGTCCAGCACTGGAACAGGAGGACACTAGGGGTGGCGCTGCTCAAGCCTATTCTCCTATATTTCAGTCCCTGGAAACTTTGGGATCTATAATGAGATTAAATCTATTTTTTCCAACATACAGAATATTTTTTCTGCTACTTATTTTGTTGTTTTTGCTGGGAATACAGCTCAAATAAAAGGCAAAAAATCAAAAACAAAAAACAGGAGTTATGTTAAAGACCACCTACTTCTCCAGCAGCTGTGATAGTCATCTCAGCACTTATGGATACCCTCACCTCACTCCCTTTATGTCTTGATTCAAGGAATACTCATGTTGTTTTGTCTTTAAGGACAGCAGATGTGCAATCCTTAACATTCATAGTAGATTGTTGCGAAAAGACATATTTAGGGGGTGATAATTAATTTTAACTTTTTATGTCAGAAAGGACAATTAGAGAAAACTTATATACATTTACCAATTCATTTGTTTATTCATAGCAAAAACATAGAGTTAAAAATGTTATGATCTGTTGCCTTGATAAGTACGCATGAAAGTGTTTCCCTTCATAGTATAGATAATTTAGGGGAGTGTTGAGGAATGGGTGTATAATATTTGCATGACTTTGCCAGCCAACACCTACAATTTTAGACTGTTTTTATATATGTATTTCTAGCATGTCCAGTCTTCAACCAATGTAAGACATGCAATTTTAAGTGTGTGAAATTAGGAGATCGTATTCTTACCTCCTCTGTCCTTATCTCTGTGATAGAGCTTCCCACTTCTCAGAATCTGAACTATGGGGTGTTTTCCTGTACTGTATAATCTTTTTCTAATTGGCCATTCAGTTTTGAAGTTATGTCTCCAATTTTTTTAATCTATCAAATGACAGGTTAAAATTAACTAAATAGCTTGCATATCAAATCTATGATCATTTTACATTTTTTGTTTTTCTGGTCGTAGCTAGAGGATACTTTGTGGGATGTTGTGGCATTTCACTACTGCAAACAAATAATACATACTGTATTTCTATTCACATTTTAAAATAACTCCTCAATATTCAAAATGCATAGGATTTCTTCTGTGAATAGTATAGCACCCTTTTCTTCTTCCACAAATCACTTGGAATAGGTTGCCAGTCTTGGATAAAGTTTGGGTTGGTAGAACCATATATATTCATTCCTTTATTAAAGCATTTATTGGTCCATTATTCAGTGTTCAGAATTTCTGTTTAAAACACCTGAAGATAACCATTCAGCTTGATAGAACTTCATAAATGTGCTTTATAATTTAGATTTAGGTTTTCACGGCTTTTATCAATTTAGTCACATACAAGCAGGGCTGTTTGATCATAGTCTATTTCCTGGCTTCAACGTTTCAAGCCTCTCCAAGGCAGAAATGAAAGATTATGAATGTGCTACATTTCTATAGCTCTTTCATTTCTACCCCAACCCTAGCTTACTTTCATGTCTGCAATAAAAATTTTGATCCAGGTCGGATTTATGTGAACATTACTTTTTTTCAGATTGACCTACCCTGTGACTGAGTTTTGCAATGAAACCTTATCAGGTTGTTATCCACCATGGCAACTGGGCACCTTAACATTAGATGGAGGAAACAGAATATGCTACCAAAGGATGTGCTGACTGGATAAAAAGTAGGTTTTACCTTGTTTCATTTTTTTTTCTTTTTTGAGCCTAGAAGCCACTTTTAAAAGTTTGCAAGTCTTTAAAGCATTAGCTCCAGATATTTTAAATGTGCTCAGGTTAGAAAGTGCAGTGAAAAACATAAAACATTGTGTGAAGGAGATTTTGCTGTACTATTACATTAAAGAAAGTAGATGGAGGTTCAGGAACATACTGGAAAGAAACCAAAAAAGCCACGTTTTCTTGTTTTAACTTTCCTACCCACTGGTTGATGATGGTAAGTCATGATCTTCCTTAAGTCCCAATATGTCTACCGACTCCAGATCATAATTTGTAATTAGTTAGCATTACCACTCTGCACTGACGTAATTTTGACCAAAGTCAAAGAAACAGTGTTTTATTTAGTTCGTCCAAAATAGAGAAATGTGCAATGTCTATAAGACAGTCTGGAATTCAGAAAGCTCACAGCCTTCCCATGGCTATCTTGAGAGGTGATATGCATAGTGATTAAAATATCTCCGTTGCTTGGGTTCAAATTTAACTCAACCAGTTATATGGAACAGTTTCTGGAATACAGTAGGCACATAGTAAATGTGTTGTCTTCTTATTTTATCTATATAATCATTAGCATTATTATTGTTTTTTTGGAGTCTATTTTGGTGTGAACCCTGGAGTCCAGGGTTCTAGACTGAAAACCATTGAACCAAACTCATAAATTCAGTACAGCTGAATTTTAATTTAGAATAATAATTAAAATTCAGCAAATAAGGATGTGTAAAATGATGTTCTTATTTTTATTAGAAAAGTTATAAACCATTAGGCATTGTGTACATATGGTCTAAATAGTTAATTCAAAATAGTTTGCCTCTTTGTATTTTGATTTTCTACACTGAATTGACAAAGATCAGTCCATGTATGAACCTTATTTGCTGACAAATACACAGAAGACTTTTCAGTCTAAGGATGTCCACAGGTTGAAAAATAAATTGTTCTTTTGGGATTGGCATTACTTTATCCAGAAATCACTTTTATTTTTAATTTCCAGAAGTGTTTTCTTTTTTATTTTTCATTTCCTTTTTTTTCTGTACTGATAAAAGTTAAGTTTTCTGTTCTACACCCTGAGGATGCCACACTTGGCTCATATATTCAAGTGTATCAAAGAGTAGAAAGTTTTGAGTTATTTATAGTCATACATACTATATAAAAGACTTGTGGTAGAAAAAACGTGTATAAAAGAGCCCATAGTCTAATATATACCATATTATGATGGATAAAAATATGCTAAATGTATTCCAAATTGTAGACTTCACTGTTGATATGCTTCCACAAAATCCCATTTAGTAACACACACTTCTGATTTATTAGTTTGTATGGGAAGGTTGGTTTCGCCTGGGCAGCTCTGCCTTAAAAGTAGAACAGCTTCTACCTAGTAAAGCATCTTAACCTAAATGTTGCTTGAAAAATTTTGTGTTCTATAAAAGACACAAAATAATGTTAATTTAAACAGGTGCTGGTCTGATTTTATTACATTTAGTTCTGAGTTACATAACATGTATTATCTAAGATCCACTTGGCACCATATAATAATATATTATTGGTACAAAAAATGTTTTGTATGAGAACAGCATCACCGTGCTTTTTATCTGTATGTATAGATTTGCCCTAGAGCCACACTGTCACTTCTATTTATTAAAATACATTGCCTTAAGAAACACTATCATAATATGATTCAGATCCTGTAGAAATCTCTGGATTTTAAAGTTTTATATTCTGGTATTTTCTTCTAGTAATAAAACAGTCCCAGTTCCTCATAAGGACTAACATACTTGCAGAACCTCATAGGAATTCTAATTTTTAAATTGGAAAAATTTGTGATACTGGGAAATATTATAACTATTTTCATTCATTTTTACTTTAAAAGAAATGGCCTGAAAGAGGTTTAAACTTTCTTTTTTAAGGTCTTTTACTTTTTCTCCTTTTCCAAGTTCATATTTTTTCAGCTCTTTTACATCATTGTCAAGAAAAAATACCAAACATAAACATGAAAAATAAACTACTTAATAGTTACCAAATGAAATATACTTCATTTTAATAGGAAATAATTAAAGTCTCTAGTATATGTCCATACAATTTGGTCTATAATGGTAGATTCATATGGGAAACCGAGAATGTTTCTTTATTCTTCTATAATAACATCTTTTATTCACTTATAGTTAGTTTTAATTAAAGTTGAAATATTATTCATATCATAAGGCAAATAGCTAATCTGTATACATTACTTTGGGTCTTCTGTATTAAATTTCATTTTATGTTAACTTTGGACTCATATTTGTTGGGTTTTGATCATTGATTATGATACTTTGTTTATAAAATGGTCAATCATTTTATGTCATATTTAGCAATATATCTGTGTATGACTTTTCTGATAGTCAGATCACGTCTGATAGACTTGTATAGAAACTCTTTCATAAGAATTCAACAAATCTAATTCTCACAATTTGATTTTTGTAATTAAATATTTCACTCAGTCTTTTTGTACGTGTCCTGGGTAAGATCACAGAGATCGCTAATAGTCCATGTTTGTTTTTAAACAATAGTTGAAAATATGTGATGACATAGGAATTTATCAACCTATTCACAATATGATTAACAAGAATTATATTAATGATTATTTGGCATCTAGCAAAACAGTTAAGTACTTCTTTAGTTTAATATCTCAGGAAGATAAGGTAGTAAAAGTGTGACTGGTGTACTTTAAAGGTGATGTAGTGATACTGTCACAGTAATCATCTGGAATAAAAGCTCTATTTTGTCTTTTAATATTGGATTATATGTTTTTAATATTCAGTATCTTTACTCGTCACCATTCAAACATCAGTGAGGGTCTTTTTTATGTCCAGTGCATCAAGCATACAATAGTCAGAAATACACCTGCTATTGTTAAGAGTCAGGTGCTTTAAAGAGAAAAGCATTCAATGAAATTTATTATCTTATTAAAAAATATCAACAACCCAATAGGATGTGGGGCTGTTGGGTGACTCAGCACATGGGGCTTATACCAGTGAGAGAGAGCTGGTGATGGGTAGAGACAACACAAAGACTGGACTGTCCGATCAGGCTCACTCACGTGGGAAATCGTACCCGTTCAAGGAGACATATAATCATGAGGCACAGGTAGAACAGGGAGAGATCCAGGACCTTCCGTGCAGGTACTCAGATTACTTCTTGCCAGTAAGGCTGTGCTCCGGCTCAGGTCACTACATGGGCCTCTGCGTGATGTTTGTGTCTACATAAATGATACAAAAGAGGACCATTTTGCTATGATACTGTCATCTTATTTCCAGATGGTTGTGTAGCTTATGTGACATTTTCCAGGAAGCCATGTGCTATAAATCTGTAGATTCCAGGTTTGCTTCGTGCGAACAATCATTGACAAATCAAGTGTATTCTGCTAAAATGTTTTCCTGGATGAAGGCTCTCTTGGGAGAGAGCACCACTGGTGTGTGTATCAGGAGAACTATCATCCACATGTTTGCAAGACTTGGCTGGGTTAGCTTCTTATTTGCAGGGTATCTTCCCCATTTCCCTCCTCCTGCAACAAGGGAGAGTGCACATTGCAGGCATCCTGCTTAATGATTCTCTTCCCAGGAGCCATTCTTGAAGAAGATGGGTTCAACCGCAGGGCAGGAAAGAGATTGCAGGAAAGTGCGTTTAGTTTAATGGTTGCTGGGTTGATGAAAATAATGATCTGGAGAAGCAACTCTGTATTTGTATGTCTTGGGATTTATGGTAGGAAAAATGGAAATTATGAAAGTTTATATATTTGTTTTCCTGGAAATTCACTGATATGAGATTGAAAAAATCAGAATGAAAATAAGACGACTTGGTTTTTATTCTCGGGTCTGTCACTAACTAGTTCTTTGAACCTGGGCTCTCATTTTCTTCCTTGAATCTGTGTTTCTCTTTGGCAAAATGAAGACAATGAAAACATGGTGTCAAAAGGTCTCTAATTTCACTTAGAATGATGATTTTAAGTGAAGTAAGCCAGAAACAGAGAGAAAAATATCATATGTGGAACCTAAAAAAAAAAAAGGACGTTAATGAACTCATCTACAAAACAGGAACATATTTGCGGACATAGTAAACAATCTTATGGTTACCAGGGGAAAGGGGGTGGGAGGGAATAAATTTGGGAGTTTGAGATTTGCAAATGTTCACCACTATATATAAAAATAGATAAAAACAAATTTCTTCTGTGTAGCACAGGGAACTATATTCAATATCTTTAATAACCTTTAATGAAAAACAATATGAGAACAAATATACATATGCATGACTGGGACTTTATGCTGTACACCAGAAACTGACACATTGTAACTGACTATACTTCAATTAATAGAAAATCTCTAATTTCCTTGTTGTTCTAACATAGTCTGAAAGTAAATTGCTCTATCATTTTTTCTGAACTTCTGACTTTCCCAACACTTGGCATAACTGTCTGATGGTTTTTATCTTTCATAACTATGTTTTTGACATGACATTCTTGTGGCAATGTGCATGGACATAAGATCCATTTGGAAAAATATACGGAAATGGACATTATTTTAATAGCAAAAACAAAAAGAATGTTTCATCACTGGAGCTGGAACTCCCAGGTTCAGTGAGAAGCTTGAGGTTTCCTGTACACCATTAGAAATGCGTTAGGAATCCAGTGACAAATTGTGCTTTTTCTTACTTGCGCAGGACTTTTCTTGAAGTCAGCGGCAACTGACTTTATGAAAGGCGGTTAGAATATCACCTTGCAACAGGTGTCATTGATATCTGTAGCTCACGTTCTTATTCAATAAACCTCCAAGGAGTGCTTGTCAAATTCAGTTGCACATCTGAGAATCCAGTTGTAATGAGTTGCTTTCACATTGTGGGCTGAAGTGAGCAGCAGGGGAGGGGCTGACAACCGCAGGGTGAATTTACTGGCTTAGAGCCACTAATTACAGAGGCTGAGATGAAAAAATCTGAAGCTCTTAAGAAGATTGGAAGGAACATTTTCATCTAACGAAGCAGTGGAATTTTAAATTAAACACAATTGGGGGATGATTGTATACTAGTTTAAAGTCATCCCAGCCGTTGCACTGTTATAGACTTTCAAATGGTCTTTTTGTGCAAGAATAATAGTTAAACCTGGTTTTATTATTCTTTTCTTCAGAAATCTTGAGATGAAAGAAGGAGTTTTCATTATGATAATAACTGAGGTAAAACTGGAATTAGAAATGAGAATAAAGTTAACATTCTAGAAGAAGGAACAGACCTATATCCACAATGGCCTGGACTAGATCTGTATTTGCTATGGAGAGCAGATAAAGCCTCTATTCAAAATTATTTCTTGAATTGGATCAGTGTGGCCAGTCCACAAGAAGTTTTTAAGCCAGTATAACAAAATCAAAACAGACAAATTGGTCATCTAGATGGTATCAGTCTGAGAGGTTTAAAGGAATCCAAAGAGAAAACTGGAATTTTACAAGATAAAATGTACCATTTATATTTAAAAAGCTTAATGACGTATCAAATTTGTTGTGAAAGCAAAAATTTGAATCCATCAGTTTGGCTAAGAATTCATTTATTCGGTATTTTTTTCTTCCTAGATTAAGGATAAACTTCAATTCATTATCTAGGTTACCATAAATTTTGAATTAACAGAGCCTATATTGCAAAAGGTTTTACAAGTCTTTATGAAGCTGAGTAAATACGTACAATTTTTTCTCCACATATCGACAATTAAAATGTGTGTCTTTCTAGGAAACCTGCAGATTTATAACAAAAGCATAGCCTGGAGAGTAAAATTAAAATTAGTATCTCTCCAAGGTGACTACGCACTTGTGAAGAATGACCAGGCTGTTCACTGTGAGCGGTGCTTACGATCCAAGGAGTGATTTAGTGTTGTGCAGTTGCTTTGTCTTTCCCTCTGGTTTTACCAAATGAATTATTGAGCAACAACTTCGTTTATGTCATTAAGATTAAATCTCCATCAAAATTGTCCTGGAGGAATTCTTAAAGGTCTGGGAAAATGTTTTGGTATTAACAACGATACCAATTTTTCATTAAAAAAATGTTGCTTTTCCTGACATCATAATTTGTGTTTATTTATGGAGAGATGTGTATGTATGTGGTGTGTGTGTGTGTGTGTGTGTGTGTCTGTTTGCAGGGCAGAATGAAAAATAAAACTTAAGAGTGGGTAGATAGGTATTTCGTTAGAAATATCCCATTTCTTTTGGTATATACAAGCATGCAAAATTTTGGTGTGTCTGAAGATGGAAGACTGACTTGTTAGATACAGTCATAGGTGGCACATTTTTCTGTCAATATGCGGTTCACACTTTGAAATACTAAAGGACATAGTAGTATTATAATCTCTTGAGAGTGACATAGGTATTAGAATGAGAGATACGATGAGTTGGGCTACTATCATTCTAACTTTAATTTCCAACATTAATTTTAAATAAG